ACCTTGAGGCTCGGGCTAAATCTGTGCTGTCACAGCCTTGTCACTCGGTTGCCCCAGACTCATGGGTCAGGCTCTGGAGGGCATTTCCTAAGGGTGGGGATAATTATGGAGGCAACTGCAATCGAAGAGTTGGCTCATTGCTTTAAAATACCCAGCATGCGATCCTGAAAGGGGTCTGAGCACGCAACATCTGAGCGCGTGGGGTCTCAGCCCCACGTCCCCGCTGTGGGGCCTTCGTGAGGCAGAGGAGTGAGTGCCTGTGCCCCTGGCTGTCCAGCTCGTTTGCAGCAGGTCCATAATTTCGTCTGTGACCAAAAGAAAATTAGGTGCTTTTCATAAAGAATCTGTCTTGAGCGGCCAGAAGAGCCCATACGTAGGTGCAGAGCAGGCCAGGAGGGCTCCCGAGCATGGATTACCGCTAACCGTTGCCTGAAGTGCTGGTAAATACGCTGGCTTTTTGAAGTGATTAAAAACAGGGCTGAAAGCACGTGGAAACCTCGGCCAAGACCGCCCTGTGAAAATAAATAAAGACAGTGTTCTCCTTAACCCTGCGGTAGTTAGAGAAGTAATCGATAGGCTGCCATTTGAAGCATGAATTTAACCAAATTTGATCATTTACCTGAAATGATGAGCCTGTAAATGCGTATGTATATGTATTATGAGTCTGATTTTTCGCTCTGCTAAGCCAGATGTGAACCCTGGGTGGTGAGTGGGAGGTGTAGTTGTAAATCCAGTGCAAGCTTGGACGTGAGAGCTGAGTTGGTACTTATCCACGCGGTCTGAATCTGTGCCTCGGTTGGTAAATTTAGGCCAAAAAGTTCATGAGGAGATGTATGTGTATGTGTGTCTCTGTGTGTTTCCTGCGTCAGTGATTTCCAGCTACGATCCAGAGGTGCAGACAGGTAGCAAAAGGAGGCAAATAGTGCGTGTTTTTGACAGTCCTGAAATCTCAAAACAGAAAATCAAATGTTTGAGTTTGGTACGTTCAATTAGGAATGGCAAGTTTGGAAGAGGGACAAATAACGTCTTTCTAGATGGATAGAAGACTTTCCCAGGTAAATAGTGATGCTACGTCTGCTAAAGCTGTGGCACCGCGCTGCTGAAAGTAGAGCAGCTCCGAGACTAAAGTATATTAAGAACAACAGCACTTTAATGGAAACTGGACACCCCAGCAATTCTTAAAATATATTCATAGTCTTCCTGTTCTCAGTGGTATGACCGCTAATTATTTTTTTAATGTCTTTTTTCTACACATTTTATAACTTGTGCTTTAGTATAGAATTGGAAGCAAAATCCAATTGTGTAGAAAAATTAATTTCCTTGAATTGAAGAGGCAATCTACTTGAGACTTTTTAATCATTTGATGGTAACTGTGTGCTAAAGGAAAGAAGACCATTAAAGTAACTTAATAGACGAGGATAAACGTTTCTCCCTGTATCTTCTTCATTTTTATTTAGAGATTCATACTGAGGATGTTTCATAAAAGCTGCACTTCTTGACCTTTTGTCACTTATTTCACTTGGCTTCTCTATACAATAATGACAAGGAACTAACAAGCAGTGGAATTCTGGGTGCAAAACCAATAATTCTGCTAAATATCTCTGTCCATCCTTTCTGCCAAATTCTGCTTTTCCTTTCTCATTAAAGAAAAAAATAGCTGTTGGGACAAAGAACAAGGCACGGAGCTGAAGTGAGCTGTGCGCTGTTTAAAAACAAACTGTGTTAATGATTTTAATTAAGGGGCAAGGAAACAAGAGGCTTTATCAGTTCTTTGTCTCCAGGCTGTTCTTTCATTCTGGACGGGCTATCTATTATTGTAAATGTCCACCTTTTTGAAGGATTTACTACAAAATCCAATGGTGTTTTTGTTTAAAGTGTTGAGCACCACGTGAGTCCTCGTTTATTTAATATGGAGCCATTGTTACAAAGAAGAATGTAACACTTAATTTGTATTGCTTGAGGGACCTCAGTTCCGCTCAGGAACACTACTTTGCATGCGTAATGGTATCGTTTGCTGAAAACAGAACATGCAGCAAAATAGAAAAGAGGAAAATCTGAAGGTGAAGTTGCAAAATCCCCGTCAGGCTGTTTCCATGAGAATTTTGGAAAGGATCAGTGAATCGGTGTTGTATAAAGAGAACACATTGCAAAATCACGATGAAAAATGCTCTCTCGGCTGGCGGGCTGGGGGAGAAGTGGCCACTTTGGGGAGCTGCTTTGTCACGTTCTTTTTTTATTTTTAAGACTTGTGTGTTAAGAAGCCAATAGTGCCGTGGCCAACTCTTGGAACCGGTGGCCGCTCTTTGAATCGAGTTTCCAAGGACTGATATCAGAGAAAAATCCAGGAGAAATAAGCACTGTTGAACGCCTCACTCCTGAATGAGCAAAGCATGCTATCGCCATGCGTTGCAAGGACATTAATGGCAGCAAAAAGGTTGTATTTTTATTGTGAAATCTCTCTGTGGTGAGTCTTAAGAGTGAGTGTGGGGAACTCCTTCCTCGCTGATGTCAGGCTCCTGCGTGGTGCTGACCCTGGGCCTGGCGCAAGGCTCCCTGGCACTGGTGCTGAGGCGCTTCCAGGTCAGTGACCCCGGCCTCTCTGGTGGCAAGTTTCCAGTGACCCAGCTTGTTCAGCCCGAAATGCAGTTTTAGTTGATTGAAGCTTTCACCTGGAAATTTTTCTAGCTTTAGCTGTTCTCTGGGTGCCTTTAGCAGATGTACAGATTTTGGTTAGGGAAGCCAAAGGTTGCTGTGCTCCTACGCATCTCTTTCCCCATGGAGGAAATGAACTGGGTTTTTCATATTCCGTGTTAAAAACAAAGCCGCTTATCCTTTTGTTTAACTCCATGCAATAATCTATGATAATGGAGCTATTAGGTTTGGCGTCTCTAACATGGCTGTCATTTCACAAGGGATTGTTTCTGCTAATGGCAGTTAACTTGCTACAAATAAACCAATAGAATTGAAATCTTAAGTACTAGAGTGGCAGCAATTCATGCAACAGTATAATGCTTGTTGGAATGAAGGCCGGGCTGGCTGACAGGGAAAAAAGTCTATTGAAGAAAAAATTCTGATGGATTCTAATTCTGACTAATTTAGTACGGCAGCAGCGTTCAGCTGCTCTAAGAGTCTATTAAAAGTATTAAAATGTCTATAAATAATAATACTTAAGTGGATGGAACTCTTCATCCAAGGAACTCAAGTGCTTCTCAGGGATTAATTTGGTCCCCTGTCATCAGAGCCAAGTTGCAAGGCGGTTGCCATGGGTTGTCTCATTTGAATGCTGAGGCTGCTCAGCGTGAGTTGGGGTGCTCCTCGGGTAGATATGGGTGCTTTACTCTGCACCCAACCTGTGCAGGCTCACAGCAGAGCTTGCTCAAGAAGTCATATTTGCTTGGTCTAAGAGCGCATCTACAATGCAGTATACTTGATCCTGTTACTTTGTTTCTACCTCAAGAGCAGATTCTCTCTGGAAAACATGCGTTTCTGGGGAAATGGAAGGAGATTGCCAGATATGTGGGCTAGGATACATGCTAAGCTCTGAAAGCTTTGAGCTGCAGAGGTGAGGGCTGTCCCAGTCATGCAAGCGAGAACTTCTCTCTGCTCGGTGCAACATCACTTCGCTTGGTCGAGGTGGGCAGAAGGGATCTGAAAAGAGCAGGCTATGGCAGTGCTTTATATATGGCTTTATGCCC